ACCCTGCTGGGAGCTGCCAAGACCCAGCATCACTAGAGGGGGTCGCCCCGCATATCGCTGGCCCAGAAAAAGATCCAAATTCGGAATTCCTCATACAGTTTCTGCTGAATGATTATCACTTTTGCACTTTGTAAGGCCAAAAAACACTCCCAGCACTGTAAGTCAAGGACCATCTGTATTTCATATTCGAGAGTCAAACCGAGGTTCTAACAATGACACCAAAATGCCACTGGAGATAAGTTCTCAATCACATGTCTGCCTGTGATGACTTTCTCTTAAAAAGCCACACACAGAATACAAAATATATTTTCTGCACTAAGAAGATCAAAATTTTCAACGCTCTCACATATTTGGGAGCTGTCGTTTGCATTCTCACGTGATTCCTTTTTATCTCCCTTAAACTCTTACACATTTTTTTTTTCATGGAAAGTAAAATCTCTTTGGTATGTCGTCTGTGTATCTGCTTTATGAGAAAGCTTTTTATTGCAACCAGATTCAAGATGAACTTCTCTCAAGATTGTTCATAGTAACTGAAAGCTTGGTTCCCATCATCCTGAAGGAACTTTTAAATTCTTTCTGTAATAACGTGAGGAAGGCATGTAAACAATATTCATCTTTGCAAGATTATAAAACTTGTAACTCCAATGGGTTTTCTTCCTATTCATTCACAGATCGGGTGTGTGTGAGTATGCATGCGTGTCCATTTAAATCAATGTTTTAGGACGTATCTCATTTCTAATGTTTGTTGAAGGTCTCAAAAGTTGTAATCTGTTTCTTGAAGTGGATATTTTCCCTTCACTTTTATTGTGAAGGCAAAGCATTGGTGGCTTTTCTATCTAGCTTCTACTAACTTACTTCCTCTTGTTTCATTCTCTTTACCCTCTTTCCTCCCATACTAACTTCCTCCTAGACAGACTTGAAGAGCCTGGAGACAGCTTTCCAGGAAGAGGATTGTTTGCTATTACTTGACAAGTGAAATGGATACTGGCCAATTCCATAAAATTCTCTCCAAATCACTGAGTATGTACTTAATTTAAACTGACAAAAATGAAAAAAAAAAAATCTGTTGGCCATATAATGGTAAATTTCAGCTTCAGGCATAGCTGGATCCAGGCATTTAAATTCTATCACTGGCTATTTGCTCCCTCAATCTTTTGGCTCTGCTTTCATCTGAGTTTGTTCTCGGGTACGCACTGTGAATGTGACGGCCAAGTCCACCACTTACAGATGCACTCCCCCTGATTTGCCAACCCAAACATAAAGAGTGTAACTCTGTTCTAATGGGTTCAGCAAAAGCCACAGAATTAGTCTAGCCTAGATCATGTGCCCACATAGGAGGTAAGCATTTTAGCAAAGGAAACAGAATCTCTGGGTGTTGGACTTGAGTATGCACTCATCCAAGTTTGGAGGACAGACCTTCATTATTATGGAATGTCCCATCTAGAAAGTCCTAGTTCTTACAAGTTATTAGAAATACTTTCTCCATTCTCTAATATCAAAAGGTAAAGTTTGCATCTGCTGTAATTTCTAAATGCACTTGAGGGCTAGTCTAGATACCTGGATGAAAAGAATTTATCCTTTATTCAAGTAATATATTGGGCCCTTAAAAAAAAAAGTCTGGGGCGCCTGGGTGGCTCAGTGGGTTGAGGCCTCTGCCTTCGGCTCAGATCATGATCCCAGGGTCCGGGAATCGAGCCCACATCGGGCTCTCTGCTCAGTGGGGAGCCTGCTTCCCCTTTTCTCTTTGCCTGCCTCTTTGCCTACTTGTGATCTCTGTCAAATAAAAAAATAAAATCTTAAAAAAAAAAAAGTTCGTCTAGAGACTACATCAAACTAAAAAGTTTCTGCACAGCAAAGGAAACCATCAGCACAATGAAAAAGCAACCCACTGAATAGAAGAAAGTATTTATAAATCATTTATCCAGTAAGGGATTAATATCCAAAAGGTATGAAGAACCCAACTCGATAGCAACAACAACAACAAAAATCTGATTTAATAATGGACAGAGAATCTAAATATATAGACATTTTCCAAGGAAGATATACAGATGGCCAACAGGCACATGAAAAGTTGTTCAGCACTACTAATTATTAGGGAAATTCAAATACAAACCACCCTAGGATAGCACCTCACATCTGTCAGAATGACTACTAAAAAAAAAAAAAACCCAACAGGAAATAAAAAGTGTTGGTGAAAATCTGAAGGGGAAAGGGGAAGACTATATATATGTGTGTGTATGTATGTGCGTGGATAGATAGAGATATATTGGAATACTACTTGGCCATAAAAAAGAAGAAAATCTTGCCATTTGCAAAATGTGGATGGACCTTGAAGATACTGTGTTAGGTGAAATAAGTCAAGAGAGAGACAAATGCCATGTGATTTCACTGTATGTGGAATGTAAAAAGCAAAACAAATGAACAAACAAAACAAGACTTAGAGGTACAGAGAGCAGAGTGGTGGTTATCAGAGGAGTCAAGAGGGCTGGGAGGGGGTTCAGCTGGGTGAAAGGGTGACATATGGTAACCAGACTTCCTGTGGCAGTCACTTCATAGTGTCTACCAGTATTGAATGATTACTACGTTGTACATCTGAAACTAATATAATGATAGGTGCCAATTTTAACCTTGATTTTAAAAGTCTGTCCTTGGGAAGATTTTATTCCCCCCAAAGACTTTCTCTCTGAGTGTAACGCTCTTACCACTAGCTCTTTCGGTTCCTGGCTGGAGTGTAAGGAAGGGAGGAAAAAGAGAAAGAGATTGGTGGATGCTCTTGGCATTTTGAAAAGCCCTTCCTTGTTTTGAATCTCAGTCTCTGCCTTTTTGTCAACTGTTTCCTCTTCTCCTGGCATGGACTGTCCCCACGATTCATTTATATTCACTGTGATGCTTCAGCTGCCTACTGGCTTACTTGGCACCTGACACATCCGTCTAGCTCCCTTATTCCCGCTCTCCCTCCCGCCTTCTCTCCCTGAGTACAAGGTTTACCATGATTATGAATTCTGGAGCATGGGGAAAGGGAGAGGAAGAGCTGGTGGGCATACCCGATGCTCCTACGGGGTGACTTCCTTGGGATCTGAGATTGTAAAGAACCCCTAGTGCTTGTCACTGGCCTGTGGACTGTCCCTTCTGTGCTCCTCAGTGATGACCACCGGACAGGGGTCCAGCTCTCCCTTTCCTGTCTCTCCTTTTTGTTTGTTCCTGACTCTAGACACTGAGAGTTACCAGAGTTTGGCAAAAACAACTGCTAATAAAAGTGTGTGTGTGTATGTGTGTTTCACACGTATTAATGAGCTATATGAGCAGACCAAAAGATTCTCCCCCTTTCTCTTTTTGTCCGTTTCTCTGTCTTCCTGTAAACATATTTTAAAAGTGACTGGCTATGGGGCAACTCAGTCGGTGAAGCCATGATCCCGGATCGAATCCCATGTCTGGCTCTCTGCTCAGCAGGGAGTCTACTTCTCCCTCTCCCTCTGCCCCTCCCCCCACCTCTTGGGCTCGCTCTCTCTTCTCCCTCACACACAAATAAATAAAATCTTTTAAAAAAATAAAAAATAAAAGCGCCTGGCTACAGCTGTATAAAGCAAGACACAAAGCTGGCAACGCTGTGGGAGAATCCTTAAAGATAATCACGCGATCTGTCAATTCTCAAACATCTACTACAGAAAAGGCCGCGTGCCTGAGTCTTCACATACGTCCTCTCCCTGAAACGTCACAGCAGTGCTGCAAGGGAGCTAGTATCATTCCCATCTTCCGTACAAGGAGGTTCAAAGATTTTTGGTGACTTGACCAAGGTCACATAGTTTATCAGCAGAGAATCTTGATCTTTAACTTTCATTCCAAAATTCACGGTCTCTCCTTTTTTCCTGAATATCGCCCTGCTTTATAAAAGGCACCTGGGAAAGGAAAGCAGTTCAGTGAGACCCAGGCAGAGGTCAAAGCAGAAACAGCTGGATGCTAGAAGCCGGCCCCTCCCCGAAGGAGGAGGAGGAGGAGGAGCCCACGTCCTCACGCAGCTCTGGACCCTACTCTACGCTTCTGACTCCATGCCCCCCTGAGGTCTAATTTGCTGTCCTGTGTGGACGCTTGCTTGCCCTTCCAGCCTTCAACATGGGATCTCCTCCCACTACCCCCAAAATCTAGGCTAACATAGGCCAGATGGTAAGACAGAGCGCAAAGGTCGGGGTCAGGTATCTGTCCGTAACCAGACTCTGCGACTTAGCAGCGTACCCAGCAGCTGTGCAGACGGGGACCAAGCCCTGTGGCAGCCCCTTTTGTCACTTGCGGGTCATGATAACAGCTAACCTTAACTCATGGAATCTACATCACAAAATTAGGAGGTAAGTTCTACCATTTGCCTCACTTTGCCAGAAAATTGAGGCACAAGACAGGTAAGTAACTCAGATTCAAAGAGACACTTTAGCTCAGTGGTACTCTCCTGTGAGTGATTTCTTCCCCCCTCCCCTGCCACCCCAGGGGACATAGGGCAGTGTCTGGAGGCATTTTGGATTGTCACAATGTGGGGGCATGGGGGGGCACTGACATCTACTGGGCTGAGGCCAGGGACGCGGCTAATCTGGGGGCTGAGGCACAGCAAAGAATGATCCTGCCCCAAACGTCCATAGTCCCAAGGTGGAGAAGCCTTGTTCTAGCTCCAGAGTCCACGCTGCCTCCGCAGTGAAATCATAACGATTTACTTCTCGTGAGATTCCTCCGAACCTGCCACCTGAGAAGTAACAGGAGTGCCACTAGTACGGTGCCTGGGGTGTGCCTTCCGCCAACCGGCTCTCCTCCTCGCTAACCCCCCGTCCCAGTTCCTCTCTCGCAAGAAGAGCAGGGTCAGAGTTCTAGATAACCAAGTTCTGCTTTGCAGAGTGAGCGGACAGCCGCAGAGCCCCCGCTTCATCATGGCCTCTGTGTATCAAACGTCTGGAGTCCATTATCCGTCCTTGGATTTCCTCGCCGGGTTGAATAACCGTTGTTTATGTTTGTGTTCACAGTCGACTTGGGAATAAGTGTCAAGGAGGATAATGTGGCCACTTCTTCCCCCAAGACAATGGAGATCAGCGCTGTTGCAGATGCCAACGGAAAGAATCTTGGGAAAGAGGCCAAACTTGAGGCACCAGCTGCTAAATCTCGTTTTTTCTTGACACTCTCGCGGCCTGTACCAGGACGTACTGGAGACCAAGCCACGGATTCATCCACTGGATCAGTGAAGCTTGATGTCAGCTCCAGTAACGCTCCAGGAAACAAAGAACCAAGTGAGAGCGTGGCACTTCCGGTGGCAGCTGCACTGGGGCACGACCCACATAAAACCCCAGGCCAGAGCCCGGCCGGGGACGGAGGCTTCTCTGCTGCTGGGGGACTGGCGCCTGCCCCACCTGAGTCAGGAGGAGCGGCCCCCTCCAAGCCCAGGGACTCCAGCTTCTTGGACAAACTCTTCAAACTGGACAAGGGACGGGAAAAGGCACCAGCCGACAGCCACCAGGAAGCCAAGGGTGCAGAGCGTCAAGACCAAGCCCAGGAGGTTTCCGGATCGTCCAGGCCATCTGATGATGTCCCTGCAGAGAGGGTAAGTGCTGGACAGGGGCGATCCGTTTTGTGACCACCAGCTCTGGGAGGGGGGCTCTGAGGGGCTGAGACAAAGGCACCTCCATCGCTCTACAGTCACCAAGCGGCCCCGACAAGGTCTCAAGCCGTCGACCCCTCTAGAACAAATAGCACATTGTGGTGGAGTGTCCCCATGTTTCTGTGGGTGGAAACATCTGTTTGCAGAGCAGTAACAGCTGTGACATCTGTTTTATGTAAAATAAGAGAGGAGGTGAGTTACATACAGATGAATTCGTCCTTCCATTTATCAAAGGTAGAGGAAGACAGATTACGTTTATGATCAATGGAGTCTGCAGGGAAAGACATTAGAAGAATAAAAATGGTCCCTGAAAGACTTCACTACCCTGCCTGGTCTCAGTAGGTTGTTCCCCATTCCGTGTGTTTATAGGCTTTTGTTGGAATACATTTCATTTCTTCTTTTTAATAGCCTGGATTGATCTTTAACTATCTTTTGCACCGAAGTGTGGGTTTAAATAAAGAGCTTTTATAGCTCTGGACAGGCTCTTTTATGTACTAATTATTTTCCAGCAAGCTGGAGTCATATCTTTGTAAAAACTAGATTTTTTTTTTTAAGGAGGTGTCCGGAATCAGCTTTTTTTTTCCCCCCTGCACAAAGAAAGGCAGGTTCTTTTGATCTTAAAAAAGAGTGTTGGCTTTTTATCTTGAGAGAGTTTGTTTGTATGTGGGCTGAGAAAGGAACTCCTTGAATGAAAAAGGAAATACAAGTTGTTATAATGTATTTTAAGGTACTTGTTTTTTTTAGTCATTGGGCTTTTAAATAACAGTATTTTTCCAAAATTTGGGACTGTAGTCAGCAGTAAGGTTAGAAGCAGGAAAAAATTAGTTGGGCTCAGTTTTTCATTACAGGGTTCTGTATCATGGCTGCTAATTTATTTGTCTAAATAACAACTAATTGCACTGCCCTGTTGCTAATAGCACTGGGTGTCTTTTATTGAGCACTTACAGTATCCCGGGCTCTGTACTAAACACTACATATAACATCCTCCTTAATGAAAGCGACTCTCATGTTAGTCTGCGGTTTTAATGTACCCAGGAGGGTGTCGAGAGTTATATTTGATTTTATTTTTTTAAAGATTTATTTGTTTATTTGACAGATCACAAGTAGGCAGAGAGGCAGGCAGAGAGAGAGGGGGAAGCAGGCTCCCTACTGAGCAGAGAGCCCGATGTGGGGCTCGATCCCAGGACCCTGAGATCATGACCTGAGCCGAAGGCAGAGGCTTAACCCACTGAGCCATCCAGGCGCCCCGAGAATTATATTTTAAATGTTAGGAAATAGTTCAACATTCTGGACAGTTACGACTGGGGAAAGACAGTCAGGCGTGTGTGTTCAGGTTCTTACTATCAGCATTCTTGCTGCTTCTGTGAATTTCTATGCCAAGAACTGATTTTCAGATTCTCTTTCAAAAGTTTAAAAAACTATCCTTCCAAATGGCCGCTTCCCCGCATGCTCCAGCTGAGGGCCAACTGAAGAGCTTTCTGATAATTCAAAGTAGGTCTTCAAACGCATCTGGGCATCACGTCTTACTGAGTGTGACCCTGCCAGCTACAGGTGAGACAAGGCTAGAGGGATAGCCATGACAGAGCTCTTGTCCTCAGGGACTTTGTGGTCCTACCAGAGAAGAGGTACAAAACCCCTGAGATTCTTGTGCGAGGTGCCAAGTGCTCTCCGTGGGGAGGCTGAGTGCTGCAGATACAAAGAGAATTGGCTTCGCAGGCTCAGGGAACCTTCCAGCAAACATATAGACCTGGAGCTGGAAAGTTACTTGTCTTGGGGCTAGAAACTAGTCATCAATATTCATGAATATGTGAGGAATTATTTACTACTTGACTCTGAGCAGAAACTCTTGAGTTCTATTATTGGTCCTGGTTCCTAAGGCCATTTGAAAGTTACGACTTTGAATAAAGACATGTTCCCTTCACTTGGGCATCCAAAGCCAACCCATTCCCCAAGTTAGGAAAAGATGGAGTTATTTATGGGAAGAGGATGAAGGACTGACCTTTGCCCGTTGTGGGGCTGGTGTCTAGTGACTCCTCCAGATCCCCCCACCTTAATTAAGAAAATCAGTTTAGGATCTGATACCTGACCCTTGAACGTTTTTAACCATAAAAGTCCAAAGCAACCAATCCATTCCTAGTCTAAGAAAAGTGCAGGACACTTTAGAGTTGGAATTTATCCACTCAGCTTTTTTATGAAAGGCTCTTAGGACCAGCACCTGAATTTGAGTGGAATGAGTTCCAAAATGAGATTTGATTCAGAAGATGGGGGCTTATGCTGGGAGCATGGCAAGTATCTGGTAGAGTCTAGCCCGTGGATGATATTTGAAAGTCACAGGGACCTCCCAGAAGACACGCGAGTTGGAACTTACCTCTTTTGAAAAAAGTGAGTTGACTCCCTCAGATTCACCAATGAGGTTTGCATCTGGTTTTGTTACACTACAGATGCCCATGTTTTTAGCGGCATATCAGTGAATCGGAGTATTGAGGGCCCACGCTGCACTGTACACATAGAAAACACAGAAAACCAGGAGGTAGTCATTTATGTCTCCTTTAGTCTGTGAACGTGCAGATACTCAAATCCATCTATCTGCAAAGGTCTTGAAAACAGCCTTCTGATTATTGAGATGTCTCGTCCAACCACTGGCTGCATGGTCTATATTGGGCGGGGGAGGGGGAGGAATCAATTCTTCCATAAGCATAATGAGGGAATCCAGCCCTCAGAAAGTAACACGAACAAAACTTCTCCATCCGTGGCTTTCTTGGTGGGAGTCCCGCATTATGCATAAATGGCCGTCAGTGTATTGATTCCGGATTCTCAGTGTAGATTATGTGTTGGGCTCAGCCGTGTCAGCTGTCCCTCCCCTCCCACCCCACAAACCTTTCCCCCCAGTCTCACTGCATGCTTCTTCCTGGATTGGAATTCCAACCACAAACCTGCAGAGCTGTGAATTGGGAGAAAGATGCCACCATTTCATTCTGAGAGAAGCACACAAATCTTCTGTGTTTTCAGAATGACAATCTTATTTTTGTGCCTCATAAAACTACATTCAGAGCATAGCATAATTAAAACAAGGCCAGAATTCATGAACAAATGAAGCATTTACTACATAGGCCAAAGAAAAGATAAATTATATGCTTGAAAGGTTTCACTGAGCTGTGATTCACACAAACCAACGTGTTGGCAGGGACGACGAGATTTTTTTTTTTTTAATTTTTCTAGCCCCTCAACAATTGGACCAGAGTTATAAGATATGCATTTAAGAGATTCATTGCAAAAAAAAAAAAAAAAAAAGGTCCTATAATGAGAATTTGATCTTTATCCATTAACCAAGAAACCAAACACTATATATCTGTTGCCAACCAATAATTCCAGAAGGGTCTTTGGAAGGGGGGGGTGGGGGGTGGTGCTTAACCTGTTACCACAGATTCAGGAGATTTAAACAAGAAATACGCCTTTCTTTAAAAGTTTAAGCAAATTCTCCAACTGTTATTTAAACACCAACCTTGGCAAAGCATGTAAAAGATAAATCACCGTCTAGTCCTTCAAAAATCATATCATTTTAATATTAAGAGATGAGATTTGTTAAAGGGATGCGTGGTGAGAAGTGACACCAATCCTCAAATTCATTCTGGCTGTAGATATTAAGAAAGAGACCCCGTGGTTTTGCTTCCTTGTGTCCTTTTCTCTCTGGAACTCACTTCGTCCAGGCTTTTATCCTCCACAAAATCTGTTCGTGTCAAAGTGGCCATGACGTCGCACCTCCCCAACCCTCATCATGGCTGCCAAACCCCCTGTGTGTCGGTCCTGTCCCACTGGCCTTGCCAGTCACATCGGCCACCCTTCCTCACCTGGTCCCTCCGCCCGACGCTGCCCGCAGTTCCTTAATCTCCATTCCTGGATCTTACCCTCTAAACCTCGGAGTTCCCCAGACTTTCATCCTTAGACATCTTCTCTGACGGCTCTTCCTTCCATAGAGACGCCCCCTGCCCCAAGGGTTAAATATACAGCCACCGGCTGACAAGTCCCAAATTCATGTCTGTAGCCCAGGCCCACCCCGAAAGTCGAGCCTTAAGTATCCAGCCACCTCTTGACATGGGTACTTGAATTTCAACATCTCCATTCAAAGGTTCGCCCAGCATGGGCAACACTGGGCTCCTCTCCTACACCTCGCAGCAAGCAACAGCATGCCTACCCGTGTCATCCACAGGCTTCCTCATCTCACTAAATGGCAACTCCACCCTGCCACTGCTATTAGTGGTAGAAATGGAGTTCAAGAACCAGGATTTCTAGACTCCTACATGGTGAAAAGTAGGGAATTAAAACATAAGCATTGTAGTCAAGTAGCTTAAGTGTTCAACTCGGCCTCTGCTGCCTACTGGCTATGTGACCTTGGACAAGTGACTAAACCTTTCCGAGCCTCGGTTTCTTCTTCTGTAAAATGGGGATATCAATAGTGCTGAGCACATTTTCCCATTATTCACACTTGCCACAGTTAAAAGAGATAAGCCATGTAGAGAACTTAGCACCAAGATGTTGCATTTTGAGAAAAAGAGTATTTATTAGCTATTATTAGTATCATGGTCCACACCACCCCCCCCGGCATTAATCAATATTTTTGTCTTTCTACTCTGGTCTTCTGTAGTCCTCAGTCAAAGCTCACTGAGATAGCACAGTTGGGTCTAATTTGAAAGCTATATCACCAAAGTCAGAAAGTCCTGATTTGGATTAAAGGAAAGAAAGAAAAGAGGCAGGAGTTATAAAATTACTAGAGAAAGAATAGAAGTTCAGTGCCCTTGCCTACAAGCCATGGTTCCTTAGTCTGACATTCAAGGGTCTCCACCAGCTTTTCTCTGTGTTTCCCACTGTATTTTCCACTATTCCCTTGAATGTACCCAGTCAGAATTCTCCCCATGTGACCTGCTTGATGCCGCCTGCTTCCCCGC